GGGGGGGGCGAAGCCCTCCAGGGATCTGTATTATGAAAATTGTCTGAACCCTCCCCATGACAAATTCCTAAATACGCCACTGTGCATTGGAGACTTGTTATATGACTACACGGATTACGCTTTTCTAATACAATAATAATTCGGTGGTTGTAGACATTTTCAATGCTAAAAAAATGCGTGCAGGTATATAACTCAATAGTCAATAAAGGTAAGTATAGGTACCTACTTACTTGTTCTGATGAATTGTAAATCGTTACTGAGTAAGACACTGTTATGCATATGTTAAATATTTATTTAATGGTAATTATTTAATCAATGCTTATTTTATTATTATACAAAAAACAATTTTGAGCGGAGACCGTCCGTCAGCCTACTCGTATATTTGATCATATAGAATAGGTATACATAGTAATTTATTTTAATTTCATTATTATTATTATTTGAACGCCTGAAAAAATTTCACAAATATTTGTATAAAAACAATTAAGCCATTTTATTTTTATATTGTATTGAATTCAGGGCTTCAAAACGGTTAAAACCGTTTTTGTTATTAACTGGTTTTTTCGGAAAATTTATACGAACGAAAACAAAAACGGAACCACAATTAGTTATTTTATAAAACGAAAACGAAATAGTTAACCAGAAATATTTTTAGTTCTCAAACAGAAATAATTAAATGTTTAATAATTATGAATAATAATATTTAATTTTACAGATTTTGTTAAGTTGGTCTGACTGTGTTGTTTGTAATAATATGAAAAATTATAGTGGTAGGTATGCACGGACCACGATTTATTAATATTTTAGTCTGGCTCACAGATATATATATATAGTTATTGACTTATTGTGCATATATCTGTGGTCTGGCTACTAATTTCCCACCACACTATTTATAGAAAATACGCTATCATTTTTAAAATTAAAGATTAATTAAATTAATTAAATTAATTAAATTTTAAAAATGTGTAAATTATTTCATAATCATGACAACAATCTGTTTGAGGTACCTACCTATAAAGTTGTTATATAAAAAAAAATTATATACCTATAATTTTAAAAGAACAAAATTAACCGGTTTTATTATTTTGAAAAACGGTTTTAAAAAACTATAAAATATGAAACCAATATTAACCGGTTTTTAAAACCGAAAAGAATAGTAGACGAACTAAAACCATTACCCACTAAAAATCATTACCTACGGTTTGAAGCCCTGGTATCGATTATAGAAAATATTAATTTATGTATCAAGTTTCACGGTTAATACTTTTTGATTTACAGCAAAATGCATCTAAAATAATTTGATGAGAAATATTATGAGATTATATATTATGCTTGAATACTTAATTTCGTGAAAATTCTAAAACAGATCCACTCAAGTTCTTAAAAATTCTAGAATTATCATTTTGTAAGGAATCTTGTACTTAATTTTAATTTTTAGCCATAGAAAAAAAACTATAAAAATTTAAATTTCCAAATGTCTATTGGAAATGCAAAAAGAATAAAAATATTCTAAACTATTCTATGGTTAAAAAATACACTAATATAATATTTAGTGAACATTTTTAAGTTTTCCCACAATATTATTAATTTTTAATTATTAAGAAAAGTTATAGGAATTTTGAACTTTAACTCCTCAAATTATCAACTTTTTTGATATCAGAAAAAAACATTTAAGTTAAAGATTGAATCATTTTTACAACTCACTTATCATTGTAAATAATCACTAAAAATCTCTCAGCTCCGCTCAGAATCTAAAATTAAAAATGATAATTATAGAATATTGATATTATAAAGATCATAAATGTATTTCTTAATCATTAACGAAAACCGTGTGAATAGTGAATACCTAGATAATACATTAGATGTGTCTTATGTTAGTATGTTACCCAATTTGCGCAATTATTCGTGTCGAACACGATTTATTATTTCCATCGTGTGAAACGTGCATCATTATAATGTACAGTAACGATGAATGGATTATGGGATGCCGATCGAAAACCTTGCATCATGGGTGCCAATCTAGACGACAAGTATAATTTTTCTCATTTGCATTTCCACTGGACGGACGTCGATAGTGGTGATGTCGTCAACGAACATATCGTCAACGGTCGAGGGCAAGTATTATGCGCGCGCTCAGGATATTTGTTCGTTTGATGAGGGGAGGGATTACACATTTTTTTACATCCGCTTTCACACACTTATCGAGATTCGCTTCCCCATAAGAAAAGATGCTGTAGTTGAAAATCGAAACTTTATTTCTACTTTAACAAATATTTAGGTACAGACAGAAAAAACCTATATATCATTGTAAAAGCAATACAGTCATCGTTCCGTTTAGAATCTATAACATACATTAAATTGCAGTAAATTATTTTTCAAATTTAAATTGTATTTTTCAATTTTACTTTAGGAACCACTTTTGAATATTAACTGCAGGGTGAAAAAGTAATGTAATTTACCTGGACGTAATTTATTCAAAAAGGACATTTACGGCTTACCTGACTTGGTATACGCAATTCATGTACCCTCGAGATTATAACTTTTAAGTTACCAATTTAGCAGAATCCAAGCAACCAGCAACACTGGGCATATTATTCAAATGATTCGTTTATCCATCTAAAAGCAATACCGCGTATATTAAATTATATAGTATATGCCTAACAATGAATAATTTATGCTTCATTTATAGTTCTAATAACGCTACAGTAAACCCATTTGAAACGCTTTAAACATTAAATTCCTTGATAAATGTCAAATGAAAATTTAAGCTGTTACCCTAGGTATTATTAGCCTATAGGTTTAGGTGAAGCTATAGTTTTTCACTGATAACGAGTTTTAAAAAAACCATTAATATACTTTCTCCTTCTCTAGACACAAGCTGGAAATGCATTTAATATTTTTCAAAGGGTCGTGTCAAACAGTTTTCGAAGCTGAATCAATAAATAATGGTTTAGTAACGTTGGCATATTTATTTAACGTAAGTATATTGAACGTGTATCCTACCAGCCACCTTCCTATACTGATATTAATATAATTTAAGTGTTCCATATAATTTTCTTTAGTGAGTATATTGTTTCTAGAACTACTTTTTCACGCTGTTATTATTTGTTTCTTAGTATGAGCTATGAACCTACTACCTAATATCTATTTAATGCTAAATATACCTAAATATTATTATCTAAGTCAGGGGTAGCTAACCTATTATCCACAAATCTCTATTAAGTGCAATACGCGAGAGTTTCCAAACAAAGGTTTCATAAACTTGAAATTTGTTTATTTCTATGCATATTGCATAATATATACCTAGGTTGCTGGGTTTAAATATCTTTAGCAAAATGCAGTTTATAAGTAGTTATTACTATAAGTAGGTAAATTATAGTATAATACATTAAATTTACAATGATCGAATAGTAAAGACGCTTACCAATATAATAAGTTAAGTATAACAGTATACAGGTATTTAATATTTCATAGGTGACAGAAAACCAACATTTCGGTATTGATCACATAACTACTAATTTGAGTAATGTACGAACATTTGGACAAACAGCTAGAATACCGGTTTTTCCTTTAAGCTATTTAATTTATAATCAACCATGTGAGTATTTTACGTACTTGGGCAAAATCGATAAACGTGGATGCAAATGTGGCATAACTCAATGGATAGTGTTTACTAAAACTTTCGATGTTAATCGTGAACAGGTACATATATAATTTATATGGCTATATATACCTACCAGGTACATATAGGTTATTAGCATAAGAAATTTAATACATATTAATAGTTAATTTGTCATGTAAATAGGTACGTCGTTATCACCTACTTAATATTACAGTTTTAGCAGATAGGTATTGGCGTAAAGTCATTGTTTCTTTTTTTTAATTACCTACTATAATTTTCTGTTAGTATAAAAATAATGAGATGATTTTTCTTGAATTATGCAACAATCAGATTTCATATACAGGTAACATATTACCATATAATATACCTAGTTAGGGATAGGTAGCTTTCAGTATTTACCGCTGTCGGTATCGGAAGTCCGCCACAACAGTCTATCACTCGCTTCGCTCGGAATCTAAAATTCTACAGAATATTAAAATATGATGTGTGGATCTATTGCCCGTTATGGATCATGTAACTAATAATCGACATATCGTAGTACATATTTAAAGTTATAACACTTAATACAACATTATTTTTTAGCCCGAGTACACTTAGTCATTATTATTTGTTATTACTGTTATTAGTATTATACCTACCTATCGTCTTATTGGCAAGCAGCAACCACGCCAACTAAAAACTTATTGGAACACGTTCAGAACAGACAATCTCGCAATTCCAGACAGCAGTTACACATACTCCAGTAGTGGCCCACACTAGTTTTCTGTACGGGGTGTTAAAATTTTTTACAACATACCATCATATCATTGATTAAATTTCCAAACAAAAATTTGTTTTGTCAATGTTGTTACATTAAAAACACTTTAAATAGTTACTAGTTATATTTACCATTTTGATAGGGGCAGGGCTGTCGACCGACACCCTTATACTGTTATTTGAGTGCGTCACTAAATTTCGTTGAGCCTATCCCTATAATCTACAAATAATACAATGTTCCCGTGTACCAGATACCTGTCAAAACGTATACAAATAATATTATATATTATGAAAAAATAAAATTATTATTATTATTATGTGCCTAATTTGTACATGTGCGACTTTTCTACGTGAAATTGTCACGCTCAGGTGGAACAGTTCCGCTGCATGAGGAACAAGCGCGGACACGCGATCAATCGAAATTACCGGAAGGCCAACCCAGTGCCACCCGGCAACAATATTCGTCCGTTTTTGGTGGTGTTGGACGTCATTGATAGCAACTCGACAGACGGCGACGTCGTAACAGAGGAGGTGGTGATGGCAGCAACAGATGCTCCAACACCTTCCATTGGACTACGTCAGACTTCGAGATGCCGATCGTTGGCCATCATCGCATCGGAAAAAGGTGGCAATTCGAGCTGGACTCTGTGCGTCAAACCCACCAAAACGCAACTGTTGCGGCGAATGTATAACCTGAACAAACTGTCAGTCCACAAGCACTGGCCACCAACTGCGAAGACAATTGTCATAAGCAGCCATAGTCAATCCGAACCCGAGCAAAAGGCCGATGCTGAATCTGAAAAGCATTTGCGGTCGAAGTTATCGTTCAATTACGTGACCAGACCGTCGTGGAAGTAATCCCTCATAATATTTAACAACACATGTACACTGTTCATATGTGTTGTGTACCAAAGTTTACGACCAACTATATTGTTGTAATGCACCTACCTGTTATGTTACAGTAACATAGTAAATTACGCATTATAATTATCAATGTGTATACTCTTTGTGCAATGTGCATGTTTTACGTATTTAAGTTTACGACCAGCTATTGTCGTAATGCACTTACATGTTATGTTATAAACATAATACATATACCTATTATAATAACTAAATAACGTGAATTTTTTCACTTAGCTGCGAGTGGTATGACTTTGGTTTTGGCCCTTTTTAGCTAACCTACCTCTATTGTTTATATCAGCATTACATATTAACAAACACCTACTTGCCCACTTTTTTGGAATTGGGGCCACCTAGTATAGTATTGATGGAGGCTTACCAGAAAATCCTTTCTTAATGGGTCTAGGTCAGTAGGCGATTTATTTCCATTTTTATATTTATGTCTATCGTCAATAGGTATGCTATATACTATACACAATAAATTGCTACAGGTGTTAGCATTTTTCATTACGATTCTTAACATTTTGTTTTAAAAAGTAATAATCAGTTTTATCCACAATTTAAGATCTAGATTCTGTGTCATTATATCTGTTTGTAATTGTAAAATCGCTGAATTCATCTATGACATTTCTTTATATATTGAGACCACAAATAAAAAGAAACTAGCTCCAATCCTTCTTATATGTTTTTCACACATGAATCAGAAGAAAAATTTAAACTATTTTTCAATATTTTAAAAGTATTGTAGGTTATAATAGCCACTTTTATTTTAAACAAAATGTTCACACTTGATTGTTTTAGACATTTTACAAATATTTATAATTTAATAATAATAGACTTTGGTCTGAATACACATTAACATAATTATAGGTGCCAATTATAATAAACTTGAAACTTTGATCACACAAATTCACATGTCAGAACAGCTCCATTTGTATGCTTCATCTCCCACAGCTTTCTGAGAATTTAGCTGCAATAGCCATTTCTGTTCATAACCATTTGATCTGTCTACACCATCCCAAGCAAATCCTGGGCGTATGCCAAACCTATTTGGTGGACAAAATCCTCGAAACTCTCTTACTTCTAAAAAAAAATAAAAAAATATTATAATTTTTTATGATAACTACATTTATATTAACTGTGGACTGAGAGAAAAATCATTTTATTTATCATTAAATATGTTTTAACAGGTGATTAAAATTTACAAACATTGTTAGATCAAAGAATCATTGTGTGTTAGGAAATTACATTTGTACAATTTAATAATAAGTAAAAGAAGAAATAATTAAAAAAAAAAAAATCATCAACATTTTCCATATTATTTATTTAAATAATTTTTAGAACTTTTAAGAATTTGACTTCACGGTTCATTTATTAAAATACTAAAAACTAGGAATTTACCATGTCTCACACCATCAGGAGACTCTTCACCTGATCCTTTATTTTTTGTGATATATTCAAGCATTGGATCTCCTTCTCTGATTTTAGACTTTAACAAATTCTCCAGGTCTTGATCGTCTGCATATCTTGCTAATGGTTTTTGCATTTCATGCAAATCAGATTGGTATTGTTCTTCAGCATCCTTGACTTGTTTTACACTAAAATTATAAAGTTTATATAAAATTAATTTATGTGTCTTACCCAGTCTGCATAAGACGGTTAGATTACTAAGAAATTTAATTTAATTATACTCATTTTTTTTAAATAACTATTAGTTCAATACTATAGTGCAATACAACAATTAAAATTAAATAATACCTAAATATTATTTGGCGATTTAATATAGCCGTAGGGCTGTATAAACATTTATAACTGAGCTAAGAGCTAAAAGATAAAAGGGATGAAATAATAAAGATGATAATGATAATATTAATTGCAATTGTCAATTGGACCATAGACTTTATACCAATAGACACAATGTGGTAGTAGTTTTGACGTCTATACAAAATGGTGGTGATCAAGGTAGCACACCACACATGTGCGATGATATAATAAACAGTATATTACTATACATAATATATAACCCAACCTCGCCGGCTGGACATGCTCCATCTATTAGTTTAAGGTCTATGAATGAGAGATAATAATCATAGATAATTTACTGTAATTTTATGTATAAGAATGGTGAGAAGAGAAAGTAGAGGGTTAAACATAATATTTATTTCATTCGGGAAACTGAATATTGGATTGGAAATATTTGTTTTGGGCTGCCCGTTGTTATGTCAGCTTACAATGGACCTGGATTTATTTAATAGTTTAAGTATATTTAATACTTGGTTAATGATTCCATCAATAATTATTAATAATGTACAAATTAATTAGGTACCCTTTTCCCCATATAGCATATTTTGCTTTATGCTCTTTTAATATTTCTTCTTTTTTTCTTTCTTCTTCTCTTTCTTTTTTGAGGTCTCGTTTCTTACCCGTTTTTCGGTCACGTCTAATAGGCATACCATTTTCTATTGACTCTTCATTTTCCTAAAAATTAAGAATAATATTTTATATCAGTGGCGTATTTATTGGGAGGGGCGATGAGGGGGCTTCAGCTCCCCCCCCCCTCCTAGAAAACCAGGAATTATTTATGAAGTCTGCTTATTATGTCCTATCAGATGTAAATCGTAAAAGTTCTATATAATTTTATAAAGAATTATTAGTAGGTAACAACGAACAAGTTATTAATGCAATGTGTCTGGCGATTTTGTTCGTAACGATTATACGGTATAATCAGGTATAATTTATATAAAAGATGTTGAATTTTATGAAAATGATTTATCCGGGCTTAATATGACGTTATAGAAGTAGAGTATGAAATTTGGCAAGTTAAGTGGAAGAATATTGAACACAATTTAAGGCCCAAAACTGCTATAGAAACTTTGAGTATCTGTGATAATTCAATTTACCCAAACATGAATTACTAAAAATAGTATCTATAATACTATAATCCACTGCTTCAGCTGACTGCAGCTTTTCGACGTTGAGAAGACAAGAAATACAACTTCAGAATCCAGACTAGTGGGACTTGCCCTTTTAGCTATTCATAGAGACATTGACATACCAGATGACATTTTATTAGACAAATTTGCCAACAGCGCAAAGAAAGAAATTTAAATTTAATAAGATTTGTTATATTATTATTATTATTATTATTTTATTATTAATTCTTTTAAAACATTAAAAATCATAACAAAAATTAAAAATTGTGTACTCATTTTCTAAACTTATGATTTTAATAGGCTGAATTGGGAATTTCAGTTGGAGAAAATACCACAGCCCTCCCACTCCACCAAAAAAAAAAATATCTAAATACGCCCCTGTTTTATACCTAGCAGCTGTTATGTTTATTTTAAAATTTAACTTATGACTAAAATACCTCTTTTATGATATCATTTAAAGTGGATTTATTTATTTGCTGTACATAATTGTTGACTTGATCAACATTGATTTTAGTAGAATCTTCTTCAATGTCACTATCTCCACCTAATCGTTTCCACCGATTTTTATTTTTGTACATGTCCAATGTCTTAATATCTTGAGGTCTCTCATCAATAACACCTACAATTTGAGGTGCAAATTCATCAACAGGATCAAATTCAATGTTATTTCCATCTTCATTTTCAACATAATCAATATTGTCATCAATAATTTGTACTCTACAACAGAAATGTCATAAATATAAGTATTTTTGTTTGTATTTTAGTATATAATGGTAAAGTTGAGCATTGTGTTAAATTCTGTTATGTTTTTATGCTTCACTTTTAAATTTTAGCTAGATAAAGGCCTGCAAACAATTTTTCACCCTTATAATTAATGATCTAAAAATATGTATAATACCCAAAATTTTAATCCTACATGTATCTCATAATTATATTAAGAAGTATATTATAACTTATAAGAATTATTTTTTTAAATATTAATATATTATATATATTTCAATAAAATAAAAAATTATATGTAATACCTAATTTATGTTTGAACCACTAAAAAATTTTGAATTTTTATATGGCCCTTGAAAAAGTTTGAAGACCCCTGCTTTATATAAAAGCTACAGTTTTTTGTTTATATAAAATCAAATCCTTAATTAAAACAAATAATTAAGTTGGAAGTTATGCAAAATTTAACAATAATACAACCAGAAATTTATACATTCACTTAAAAATACTTAAAAATGGGGCCAAAACCCATGGTCATATATTAAAAAAATACCTTTTTTGAATTTTGATTTTATCTTTTTTCTTCTTTATGCCAGAAAGATATCTTTTTAGATAATCCTTTTGAGATATAACCTTTTTTTTAGACTCTGAAAATATAAAATATTGTTATTACTATTTAAAATATAATTTAAAACAATAAATTAAATTATGCTAATTTGCATTAACATTTATGATACTGTCTAACCTAACCATTTAGTATTTATACACTGATGTATATTATTCAGTATCATTATTTAATCTAAATTTTTATTTTAATAGTAATATATATTCTCTTGACGCTTTCCTCATGAAAATGTCTGGTTGGAAATAGATACCTATACCACTATTTATTACTATCAATTTTAAATGAATCATCATTATCAACTTAAAAGCATACAAAACCTACACAAAATTGTATAAATTCTCTTATGAAGAAAAAGAAAACCAACAATTAATTTATTTTTATATCTTAAAATAATATCTTTATATACACAATGACACAATTTAACATAAATACATAATATATAATTTAATAAAATACTGTATACTAGTTAAAAATAAATGACAATAATTATGAAAATTATATATGGATAATAAATAATAATTTATTGAGAAACAAATTTATCAGAAAATTCTCAAAAAGAGTATTTTGAAAAAATGTAATATGTTTCAAATTAATTTACTCCAAAAATATTGATATTTAAAAAAATTTTAAAAAGTAATTTGACTATAAATATTGGTTTTACCATCAAAATTTGTCTGAAATTTCAAAAATTCACCATTTTTGCTTTAATAAAGAATTGATTCAAAATCTGATTTTTGTTATTTTTAAATATATTCAAGGAAAACTTTTTAAAGTTCTTGAATTTTTTTTGTTCTACATAAGAAGTGTTCTGTAGTGATTCAAACTTTTGTTTTTCAAATACGAACTCCCGTTTTTTACTTAATGAGTGGATCATGTTTTTATGAACATTTTGATATATATAATTCAAAATTTGAACTAATAGTTTAGTAAATGTTTGTACTAAAAATATATCCCTAAAAATGGTTCTACAAGAATTTAAAATGTATGTTCTATTGGAACTGTACTCTGTTCAAAATGGGATCGGTACACAGCAGTGAGCAGACCACCTCAGGATGTGCCGTGAAACAAAGCATGATCTTTGCTCTTTATAAATTGTCAAATTTAAAAACAGTTGACAATGACTGTTTGAATATTTAGATTTGATACAATCACGACTCAAGCAAATTAACTAACATACATATTAATACAAATGTACATACAATATAAAATATTGAAAAGACTAAGTTAACTCTTAATTTAAAAATACATCAAAAATCTGCTTGATATGTATTAGTTAGGTATTACACTTAAGATAATGTTGGTGCACTATTTGTAAACTTTAACCTTTTTGCAGTGTTTCAATTATTATAAGAGTTTAAAGTGTGTATAATATTATCATTTAAAAACACTCATATCATGTTTTAAAAGTAAAATAGGTACTTTTCTGTTATACCTACTACCGCTCGATGCCGCGACTACCGCTTGACTTTTTATTGATCTATTGATTTATTTTGATGACTTTTTGATTTATATTGTAATAACTTTCCACTGCTGTGATAATTTTAGAATTTATAATTTGACGGTTTGTGATAATATTGATGATTTTATGTTTTATACACGATTTAAGTTAGTACTACCTTAAATTGTGGTTTTACACCTGTAATAATTTATGTGATTGCTATTCATAAACGTTATACTAATATACATTGTTACATAAATGGCAATTCATGATGTGTATTGTGTATTATGTATTAAAATACAGAACTATCTGGATAGTACTATAGTAGTCGAAATAAACAGAATTGAGTAGTCGCGGCATCAGCGCGGTAGTCAAGATAACAGAATTGAGGGTCGTGGTAGTAGGGATAACAGAAAAGTACCGTAAATATTATAAAAAAGTTAATATAAGAACACAGTTAATCTTAATGTTCTTGATTTATAATAGGTGAATTTCACAATACTTAGCTAACCATTTACCAATTTGCTATGTTGTCCATAGACCAATGAGAGAAAACAAATAGTGCCCTGACATATTATTAAGTTAAAGAACACAACATTTTAGTATTTTCGTGACAAGTAAACAAAGATGTTCGAAATAAGTAAAAAATCATTTAGGTAATGTTTGACTCACCTTTTTCTGACATTTTTTCTGCTTCAGACTAATAAATAATAGAGTTCTGTCAAATCTGAACTTATTTAGTCGCAAGCCAGATCTTTACCTACCAATGCAGTAAGATGTAAATTTAAAATTACCAAATTCTGGAAATGCGGAATAATAACAAACAATATTATTTGAAATTTATGAATATTATAATCAATGCAACTTGTAGATAACCGTGCTATCACGAACACGGCCAGTGATAACAGCGATGATCACTAACATAGATAATAAAGAACCACTAACAACTAAAGTAGAAAAAGGCCACCAGTGTTGCATAATACCTATACAATTTGGTAAAAGGAAAAATACGATGTGATACACAATTAATGTTCCAATTGATACTAATATTATTATACATTTTAATTAAATGGTTTACTTGAAAAAGGAAAAATAAGTTATGAATAAATTTACAAAATAATATAGTCTAGTCGGTCCTATTATCGGCAATAATAATATAATAAAATATAATATAATAATAATATAATATAATATAATATACAGATACAGCACATATAGTATTTAAAATATAGGTACCTAAAGATTTTGATATTTGTTTATGTTATATTGTTATCAAATATAAAAAGTACACGCGAGCAATGCAATTAGCTTTAAATATGAGTAATATGAATTAATTTGTCATTACGATTATTGGACCGATAAAAATGTTGCACCTGTTGAAATTTAATGGAATTACGCCGATGTAGTATATTGTATAGCTATTAACTAACCACCTACTTTTTGGGATTTTAAACACCGCTCGATTTTTCTGAGCATATTATAATTAAATACTATTGATTTTATTTTAATTGGAAAGTATAGAGGTATCCAAAGCTGGACAGTAGGTAACTAGGTAGTTAAAAAGTTATATTATCAGTAACTTTTTTATAACTTTTAACAACTAGTTAAAAAAAATGAATACTAGAAATATGTGTAACATAATTTGGTTATTTTGCTATGATTAAAGTTAATAGCGAATTTTTCTTCCGAACTTGTCGTTGTCTTGATTTTTTAATGAAATTAAAGATATTTTTACTTAAATAAATAATAATAAAACCGTCAGAATAACGTGTCTGATCCCCGCATACAGACATAATATAGTGTGTTTCCTTTTCCTACAAACTACACTTTACAGTTTAACAATTATATAGTGTTCAGGAATGTACAGTAAAAAATAAAACATTAACGTTCTCATTCAATTCTTAAAAAAAGAAATCGTTCGTGTTCACGTTTGTGATTTTTTTAGACGGACGCGTTCACATTCACGTTTTTTGAAAAAACGAATGCGTTAATTTAATTTTTAATTTTCTTACCACATGCAGAAATTATAATAAGAAAGTATTAGTTTATAATATTATTTATTTATTTATTTTATATAATATATTAATTAAAAGGTATATAGATAAATAGATACATTGAGCGTCTTAAAAATCGTTCAAATTTATTAAAATATAAACATTTACGTTTATTTTTTTATTTATTTTAATTTTAGATTAATTATTTTTTTTTCAAAAATTAAAAAGTTAAAAAATAATGTTTTAACTTTTTTATCATACAAATTTACTCAATYWAAAAAAATACAGGTTGCCCTTGTCCACACGAGTCTATAAAAAAAAAATCAGATTTATGATATATTTTTATCATCTCAGGAGATATTATAATTGGTAAATCCTCCCGGAACACCCTGTATATATTAC